CCGAGTAACTAGTTTCAGGCAAATCTGGTCGATTTTTAGAAAAGTCGTCCGCCATATTGGATCCACCATTTTGAATTTTGAAAAAGTGACGTCATATTCGTAATCAGCGACCCCGAAAACCCCCGAGTTACAAGTTTTAAACGAATCTGATCAAATTTAAAATTTAGTCTGCCATATTGGATCCGCCATTTTGAATTTTAAAAAAGTGAAGTCATATTCGTAATTAGCGACCCCAAAAACCCCCAAGTAACTAGTTTCAGGCGAATCTGGTCGATTTTTAGAAAAGTCGTCCGCCATATTGGATCCGAAATTTTGAATTTTGAAAAAGTGACGTCATATTCGTAATTAGCGACCCCAAAAACCCCCGAGTAACGAGTTTCATTAAGCTTTTTGAAAGCCATTGTCTAAAATGTCTATTTGTTTATATAATTTGTTTAAAGCAATTAAAAAATGGGTCTACAACACCATTTTACAATCCAGAGAACTATAGGTATAAGTTAAAATACTTAGCGTTAAAAAAATACCCATATTTTCGAGATAATAATAAATATATAAAAAATGCGTTTTTTTCAATTGTTTATGCAAATTTAAATAATTATGAAAATTGAAAATCAAAAATCAAGCTCAAGCGATCTCTTAGCAATTTAATCAAGATTATTTAGAAAAAAGAAAATCTAAAATCGGTTAAGATTTGTAGACTCTAAGTTATTTTGAACCCTACTTTTCAATTTCAACCCACTGTGGAACGTATCAGAACAAAGTAATACAAAAAATTAGTATGGTCCGTGCCAATCTTTAGTATTAACCATATTAATAGTTGATACGTTAATACGATTAAATAACCATGAAGGAGTATAAGGAGACATATCTCCAATGGGAAAATTGCCTGATATTGACTGTACTTCTCTGCAGTAAAATCGACAGGCACGCGAAAAGTAATAGCCTCATGTTCACTGATAACAGCGCCGCCAAACGGGAGAAATAAGTGCAATTTTACATTTTAAGTATTTTTATCTTTGACAGCTGATTGATATTTAAGATTAGAGGATCCTCTGAGTATTGTATTGTAAAATAAATCAACAGAATTAAATTGTTTTATACGTTATATAAATAGAAAGGACTCCAAATGAACAACCAAAAATTCTTTGCATTAAATTCATAAATGTCTGTTGGTAAAAGTATAAAAACTTTTACCCTTACAAAATAGTATATTAAATAAACTTACCATTCTTGGTGCTTTGAAAAAACACTTCTTTCAGAAGCATTTTTATTTGCTTTATAACTTGACATGCATTTTTTTATAAAACAATACATATTACTTTTATTTTATTGTTATTATCAACTTGGTACATAACCAAAAAACTACGTAAACAAAACTTTTATCATGGACAGCATGGAGGGTATATATTCTCTCCTGTAGGGGCGCTAATATCAGTGAACAAATTTCCGGTATGCGAATTTGCGTGCATGGCGATTTTACGCAGTTAAGTACAGTCAAAAGAGATGCATATACATACTCCTCCTTATACTCCTTCATGTAAATAACATAAAAACATCGTTTTCTCCTGTTTGACATGATCATGTTAAATTTTGAAATCACAAAGTCTTTCCGTGTACCTCCCTCTCTTTCTCTTTATCATGCTTTCTCTATTACTGCGGACAGACTGAATGAATGAATTAGAAGATTATTATAGTTAGAACAGTATTTATAAAAGTAGAAAACTACTATATCAATATCCTTTTCAAAAATAAAATAAACAAAAATTTTAAAGACAAAAATCAATAATCAGAAAACTACTTATTCGTATTAATAATAAGCGTATGGTACATTTCATGTAAGGTATCGTGGCGTGTAAGGTATGGTGGCGGACTTATCAAATCTGGCATGTAACGTCACATCTGAAGCGCCTTATCACTATGGTCGATGTCTTTTATCGTGATGACATTTTATTGCAGTAGTATTAATGATCAAACGCGTGCTTTGTACTTTAAGTGATTTTGAATAAAAAAGTAGTGAAAAAAAGAAAAAAAGTTTTATTGGATATGTATGTTAACAGTGCCAGAGTGAAGATTTTTTGAAAATTGAGTCTGGTAAATGTATGGAAGGTATTGTTTAGACCTTGGACAACAGTTTTTTGTATTTTACATTTTTCTCAATTCGCGCTGTATGAAAGTAACACCATCATATTTTCATCAATAGCTTGTAAGGTATGGTGGCGCAATTTTTGTAACTTACAGTGGCGGATCATTTTTTGCACGAGTTTCAATTGTCTTTGCATTTTTTGTGTACTAATGCCTCATGTGCTCCAACGCAACAATTCTTGAATATATGACAGTTGCGGTCTTCTCTTATTCTAGTTGCGTTAAAACAGCCACCAGCTACTTCACATGTCCAAATTGTAACCATAACTGAAGTGAAACTTTTTTTTCTATAATGTAAAATCATCAGTTTTTTCTCTTTTTATTTTTCATCATTTCTAGTAGTTTTCACTGAATTTAAATTTTAATAGCCGATTCTGACAGAAATATGCTTAACCCCTTAACTGTTTCAGAAAAATACAACATGATTGTCCCAAACTGCCCAGCGGAATCTGATACTTTTTCAAATAGTATAATATATTTAAATTATAACTAATTATTCAATTATTTTCTAAAATATCATTAATGACCCTCATAATTTCTTATAATATTGATATAAAGAAAAATATCTATCAATTTATTTACAAATTATATTTATTTTGAGTGATAGTGAACACGACCCACGGGTGGGTCGGAAACAGTTATGGCCATACTTTTTCACGACCAACCTGTGGGTCGGAAACAGGCAACGGGTTAATAGATGTCAGCAACTGCCTGCATTTGAAATTTTGAAAAATATTGTTTTTTAAGAGAGAGAGACGCAAAAAAGAAAGTGTCCGCCACCATACCTTACACTCCCCTACTTAAATTCAATGATGTCCTTATTTTTTGAGAAAACATTAAACGGGTCTTTTTCATATGAAAAACCACTCTAATATTATAATTCTTAAATAAATTAATAAAAAAAACCTTTAAATTCGTTCACAAAAGGTAGAACCAGAATTTTATTATTATTAAAAGGTACTCTCTGATTATTATTCTCATTATGAAATCTGGTGTCAGAAAGTTTAATACCTCTGTCTACCAGACCATATATGACAGATATTTTATCTTTTTCTGATGTGCTTGAATCAAAATTCACATATCTACCCGAGAACGTGTCTTTGTGATACCAATTAGTAACAATTCGATTATTCTCTCTTATAACCATGGTATCAAGAAAACTAAGGCGACTATTCTCCTCAACCTCAATTTTAAATTGCATATGTTCATTGAATTGATTGGAAAAATATAGTAGGTTGGCAACGTTATTTTCATCAATAAGGATGAAAATATCGTCAACATACCTACGCCACAGTGGGCCAGAATCGCTATTTTTTGGCCAAAATTGATAATTCTCAAAAAGCGTAAAATGTATGCCAACTAATGATGCTATCTATTGTTTTTGGAGTCGCTGATTACAAATATGAAGTCGGATTTTAAAAATTCAAAATGGCGGATCCAATATGGCGGTCGTCAAATTAAATTTTCTTTTAATTTTCATGAAACTTGATATTAAGAGGCTTTTGTGGTCACTGATTACGAATATGAAGTCAGATTAAAAAAATTCAAAATGGCGGATCCAATATGGCGGACATAAAATTTAAAAATTAATTAAATTTTTATAAAACTTGATATCTGGGGGTTTTTGGAGTCGCTCATTACGAATATGAAGTCAGATTTTAGAAATTTAAAATAGCAGATTTATTTATGTTAATTTTATGCCTCGAATAAAAATTGACGTTTAGGATTTGCTGCATTTAATTTCGCACTCAGGATGTGCCGCGAGAAGGCTCCTAATTCGATTTAACATCCCATCTTTATTTTTTTTTGTTTTTTTAGTTTTTTAATGTTTTTTTTGTTTTTAATGTTTTTTTGTTTGTAATGCTTTTTTCTGAATGTTTTTTTCATTCGTTTTCGTCGTCTGATAATTCTATATTGTCAAGCATTTGCTCGAATTGGGTGGAAAGGATTTGATTTTGGTCGTCTTTTTTGGTTTCAGCGACCTAAAAAACATAGGAATAGACACCCTACTCCACTTTTTTTTAAACTGAAATTCCAACCCCCGGAGCAGGTGTAAGGGGGTGGTAGCGGGAAAATGTCCGATGAAAAAATTTTTCATGGTCATATTCGGTTTCAGCGACCCTAAAAACATGGGGATAGGGGGGTGTGACCTCTGGGTTTTGACTTTTTTTTGTGTGCCTGTGTAATTACACATTTCACAAACGCGCAGCAATTGACGGATTACCCTCTTTCCTTCAAATTATTTTTAAAAAAATTCAAAATTGTAGAAGATACGCCATTTTGAATTTTAATATTATAATTTTAAGGTGAATCCATAAGGAATGTTAATAAAATTTTTAACAAAGAGGAGTAAATAAAAAAAAATAGATTTGAAAACATTTTTAAAATTTTTTCATTATGAAAACTAAATTTTTTTTATTTATTTTATTTTCATTTTGAAGTATATTTTTAGTTATTTTTATTGTTAATATTATTTAAATTTTATAAAAATTACACATGGATAAATATATATTAAATTATTATTTTTTATTTTTAAATTAAAATAAACAATATTCTTTTTGCAAGAATAATAAAAACTCGTTTTATAAATTAAAAAAAGTAATTTTCAAACTTGTAAATTATTTATGATAACAAAGTGACCATGTATCTATATAAACTTGAAAATTTGTCGAAACATGAATTTTTGCATGATTTATAGAGTAATATTTAATATTTTAAATGAAGTCATCTGAGCGAAAAACACAAATACGGTTTAATAACTTTGCACTCAATTCAACTTTATATATATATATATATACATTGTATAAACGAACAAATGCTGTTTGAGGTTTTATAGTCGGCTTATTTTGCAGGGAAAGGAATTTTGCGGTAGATGCATTGCAAGCCCGGTAGTAAAACTCAACTCGGAAACATATTCGCCACCCAATTTTCCGCCCACTTTGCAATGGTACAAATTTCACTCCCAAAGGGAATGTAGCGGCGAGGTTTTAGCAGCTTTTGAACTCATTGAGGTGACAGATGTCTTTTAATCGTATTTTTTTACATTTAGAGAGCTTGTTATCCGCAACGTTTCACTGCTTTTCGAAGTCGTGGGACTTTGTTATTTTTACAAAAAATATTCCATTTACTAATTTCAAAAATATTCAAATGGCAAATTTTTATTATTATTATTATTTCTAAAATTTACATTAAAATATAGTTTATATAAAATATATAACAATAATCATTTAATTATTATTACATTTTAATAATTAACAACTTTCCATAGTATTTATAATACCTATAATTTTATTTATTTAAGTAATTATTTAATGTTATTTACGGTAATAAATAATAATATTCTATAAAGTATTGATAGAAAGATTTAGGGTATACCTCTGCTAATAATAATTATTAACGAATCTAATATTAATTCAAATAAATGAACTGGTAATTTAAAATTTAATGAGGAAAGAATAAAGTAATTTTCACGAAAGACTTGGAAAGTGAGAATACGCCGCAAATTATTTAAAATATCATTAATTAATAATAAATAGATGATATGAAATTAACCTTGTGAATTTATAATTAGTTATTATTTTCATTTCATACTAAAAATTCAACTTGTGCGATTCACTAATAATAATTAATTTCACCTTGAACGCCTAATTTTCCAGGTGGGAAATGAGGATGTCGTAGATTTACCTTTAAACACGTCCACAAACAACAAGATTTATAAAGTGCCCGATTACATACGACCAAAAATGACAAATTATCGTTTAGAAGTGATAATCTGGGGTGTTCGCGACATGAAGAAAATTAATTTTGTACCCGTTTATAAACCAAGAATAATTATTGAATGCTCCGGTGTGTATGTAAAATCCAATGTAATGGAGAATGCAAAGAAGTTTTCAAATTACGAGAATAATCATTTTGTCACTGACTTGGTAAGAAAATATACGCAAATATAATTTTAATTATTTACATACACACTCAGATTCTAGAATATGTATAAGACGTTATTGAGAAAACCACATGTTGGAAATTCAATGAAAACCAGAATTTAGGAAACTTTCGTCGCGTGCGGAATGTGTTAAAATAAATTAGAGGTGTACAGGACTCGAGGGAATAAACTAAAGTTTATCTCAAAACTTGAAGCATATTGTCGTTGGACTAGTACTATATAAATCATCAACTGAATATTCATCATTTAGGGAATCATGTACTAAGAATAAATTAGATATTCGGAAAATGGTCGGAAAGAGAGGGTGGGGGAGAAGAGAAAATCTTCTTAGTTTACCTAAAAATAGTGTAGTAATGAAAAATAATTTTTGTACATTTTTAAACTGTAATTAATTACCACTTTAATTTTATTATTTAATAATAACTTATTAACTTCATAAACTTCTTCGTACTTATTATTTAATAACAAAAATAGTTAATGTAAAATAAATTTATTTATATTTACAATTTAAATTTTTTTAAAGAGTAAATATTTTCTTTAAAAGGATATGCCGATAGAAAGTGTTTATTGCCCAGCAATTACAATAAAAGCCTATGACTCACGAGGTTTTGGATGTTTTAAATACGCCGGAATTTGCATTATTCCAACTGCTCATAAATTTATTGAGGAATTAATTACCCAAGTGGATTATGATTGTCAAATACACGAAATAAAGGGTATTAGAAGGTGCCAAGAGCTAAAAAAATCATCAACAATATGTAAGACATTTTTTTTAATTTCAATTAATTAAAATTCTAATTGATTTTTTAAAAATTTAATTTAAATTTTAAAGCTTTTTTTAACACTGTTAAAAAGGGAGTTAAAATTTGTATTCCTTACTCCAATTACTATTCACTTCCGAAATTTTTTACAGGTGTATTTAAATTTAATTTTTAAAAATATTTTTTAATTTACTCCAATTTTCGGCTAAATTCTAATTCCTTCGACATGTAATGTAAAACTTTTTATTTATTTACTCCCTGAAGAGGAAATCGTATTGACTTCGAAACGTAGGAGTATTTTTTTGTATTAAAAACCACTTGTCCATTATGTATTCGTGTAATTTATTACCTACTATTCTAATCAAATCAACTCGGACGTAAAAGTTTGTTCAATACAAAAATATCAATTTTTTGCTGAGAACCATATAAAGATCAACTCCAATCATTTTCGCTATATTTTTCCTGAAATCTATACAAGAAAATACATAAATAATGCAAAACTGCAGTTCATTTAATCAAGAATTATTATAAGCGACAAGGGGGTACACACTTTTTACTAAATCGTAAAAAATTTATAGTTTTTCGCTAAAAAAATATAAAGATCTTCTCCATCTAATATGTCAATTTTATTTTCGTTTAGGTAATAGAAATTACCAAAATATAAATTCTATATATTTATAACATTTATTAAATTGCACTGAGAAAACAAATTATTTGATTCAAACAAACTTTGTTTAAATTAAACTTAAAATATCTTTACTATCCCGTATAGAAATTGCCATATTTTGGCTGTAATATAGCATGAAACACCTTCCCACATCGGGGCCAGATCTGGCCAGACTTGGCCCCGATCTGGGAATGTGTTTCATGCTAATAATAGGGACGCCAGATCTGGCCCCGTTAGGGCCGTGGCAAAATCTCTACACGGGATACGATTTGCTTGAAATTTATTACTCAGAGGTTTTTGGGATCGCAGAATAAGAATCTGAAGTTTGATTTTAAATGGATTTAGTCACCACAAAAAAAATTTTTCAGCCACTCCGAAATCTTTTTAAAAATTATACGGCATTTTAAATTTTATAAATTAAAATTCTTATTCTTATTAAGCGACCTTACAAAAAAGCAAATATTAAATTTAAAGAAAATTTAAAAAATTTTCAGCACAAAATGTTAATACAAAATTAAATAAATTTTTTATTTAAAAATTATACGGTCATAGTGGATCCGCCAATTTGAATTTTGTAAATTTAACTTCAGATTCTTATTCTGCGACCCCAAAAACTTCTGAGTAATAAATTTCAAACAAATCGGAGGGACTTTTAAAAAATTTTCCGCCATATTGGATCCACCATTTTGTATTTTTCAAATCAAACCTTGAATTCTTAATCAGCGACCCTAAAAACCCCTGAGTAACAAATTTTAAGCAAATCGGAGATAATTTAAAATTTTGCCGACATATTTTATCAGCCATATTGATTTTTAGAAATCTAACTTCTGGTTCTTGTTCTTGATTGATTAATAATCGGTTATAAATCGATTATTAATCAATTGTTAATTTATCCTGAACCAATTATTGATCTATTGTCGACATATCAATAACAAAGTGTTAACAAAGAGTGCCAATCTAGTACCAATTTAGTGCAAAAATAGTTTCCATTATATTCCCATTTAATTGCCAACTAAGTGCCAACGAGTTACTGACCTGGCACCAACTTCATTACCAACAAGTATTACAAATAATAACCAACGAATTGTGGATTTCCTGCCAAGGTTGGCCCAGGGCATTAAATTCTATTTCACCAGTCTTCCGCCAGTTTAACTTAATTATTGATTAAATAAATGATAAATATTAAAAGATTAAATATTTTATAGGTTTTTAATATTTTTTTAATGTTTACTCTCTAAATCTGAATAAGTGAAATTTCACTTATTTTAAGTGAATATTCACTTATTACATGTTTCAAAACTCTTCCACGTAGAATAAGTGAATATTCACACATGAAATAAGTGAATTATATTCACTTATTCAATAAGTATGTACATACTCACTTATTAATAAGTGAATATTCAAATATGAAATTAGTGAATACTCACATATTAAGAAGTGAATTATATTAACTTATTGAATAAGTTAAAATATATTTCTTATTTAAATGAAAATAAATAATCAGGATCAATGTTTTAAAAAAAAAATATTTATTTACTATCAACTTGTTTTACACTCTTTTCTCTTCTCATTATCAATCTGAAAGTTATAAACATATCAATTTTTCAACTTTTTTAAGCTGAATCCCCAAACGGCCACCCATCCTAATATTAACCGCACGTATCGTCGCTTAACTTTTATGATCTAACGAGAACTACCACAATCCCACTTAATATGTCGCCTTATATTCATAGAAAATTATTGGGTGCTACTTATAAAGAGTTAGCTTATTGTCTTGTACTTTAACGTTTTGTTCAAGATTTCTCTTATTATATATTTAATAATAAGTAAATAAAAAGTTGGTTATTATATTATTTATTGTTAATATAATATTTAATTGAATATTTTCTAAAAATTTTATTAACATTTTAATGCCAATTTATATAATTAAATAAAATAAAAAGTTTTTAATGTATTAACTGAAATGATAAAAACATTGTTCCTTGATATTTAAAAGTATAAATAATTGAAATAATAAGTCACGTTATTAGCGCAGGTGGATTTCTTTTTAACTAAATATTTCACTTATAGATAAGTGGATTTCACTTATTGATAAGTGAAAACAAGTTCATACATATAAAAGTGAATATTTCACTTAAAATTATATAATAGGAAATAATTTGTTAAATAAACATTAATAAATGTGAAACAGTAACGATTCCTGAAAATTACGATCCAGCGGATGAGGAAACGGTGTGCTTGATAAATTATAATAAATTGTCTGGCCAGGACTTTAATTCAAAAATAACACGACTTTTTGAATCGATAAAACGTTTTAGAAAACGCACATCTTCGAAGAATAAAAGAAAAGAGGTGTACGAGCTGGATAAGGATGAAACACATGATTGGTGGAGCAAATATTACGCTTCTCTCGAGGTAAACTTACAATTTCTACCAACAACATTTTTCTCCTATTTGAACATAGTTATATATATATATATATATATATATATATGCACATCACATATTTCTCCTGAAGCAATACCTCTTTTTAAACGAGTTAAAAAAACGAGAAAACCTTTGGAAAACGAAGGAAATTTTTCGCTTCTAACAAAAGTGAAAAACGAATATATAAACATAGGTAATCTTTTGTGTAAACGATATTTTCACAATTATTTAACATTTTTGCAATTTTACAAATAAATTAATATCAGAAAATAAAAAACATAACGCTATTATAAAGTAAACTTTTCAAAAAACAAAATTCACTGAAAATTTAGATATTTATTCTATTGAATAAATTTTTTTGCAAAAATTATAGGAGGAAAGAAATCGAGAACTTGGAATAGTGAAAAATCTTCTTCCAGGCCAAAAACCAGTTCCTACATTTAAGGTAATTTTTGCAAATAAGAAAAGAAAAAACAAGAATAATATATTTTATTGATTTCACACCCGTTAGATTTATTCCACCGAATTAGAAATGGAACCAAAGTTCACGAAATTTCAAGACAGACTACGAACTTTTGAATTATGGAGGGGCAAAAGAACTGGTGATACAATTCAAGACGAGAAGAATTTCGCTGGGAAATTTAAGGTGTAATAAAATTTAAAAATAGTATAAAATAGTATATTGTGTATCTAAGGAGGAAAATCGAAAATCGTTTTCCTCCCGAGTTGCACATACTATTTTTCTAACATACGTATACAAGTTGTTGATTTCTGTACTTAGATAAACAAGATACAGAAAAGTATACTTTTCTGCAAAGCAGTGTCAGCTTTACAATTAGGACAGCATAACCTTAAATTAATCCTTTACAACCTTTACTTTCGATGCGTGTCCCAGGCGGAAAAGTCGGACGAATACCGGATCGTCCAACCGTCTAGCGCCCGCGCCGGTTGAATTGGAGAGTCAATGCCAGTGCAGGCAGTCTGTACCGATTCGGATGAGAATGTCTGCTGGCGCGGTACAAAGTCGGATCCGACGTTCGGTACAGTCTTTCTACTGTCAGCAGTACAGGCGCGGTACAAGATTTGATCCGACCGCCGGATCAAAATTTATACCACCTCGCAACCGGCGTTGTACTGGCATTCGTCCGTCTAACGACCCGAGCGGTACAGGCATTCTACCGACTGAGGACTATATAATTTATTTTATTATTAATATATTAATTAATTTTATTTACTTACTTATTTATTGATTTATTATAAATAAATTATAAGTAATATAAAATAAATTTGATCAGATTTATTTAATATTACTTATTTGTTTATTTATTGATAATAAATCAATAAATAAGTGAATTAAAAATTATTAATTAATTAATTTATTAATAAGAATATGCTTAGAATATAGTAATTGTTACTAGTTTTCAAATTAATTTTATTTTTATATAGGATAATTTTTTTTATAAATGCGCTTTTAAAAATCTTACCACAAATATCTTTTAAAATCTGACAAGTTTTGCTATTTTTTATAATAAAAATTAATAATAATAAATTTAATCCATCATGCTTTAAACATTTTTTGTATTAATAATTTTTAAAGAGTTGAAAGTACATTCGTACTGGCATTCTATTGCAAAATGCGTCCGGCTCGGTGCAGGTTTCAACCCGCTAAGCACCCGGCGTTGTACTGGCATTCGTCCGTCTAGCAACCAGCGCGGGCCAAATTATATTCTTTATTGAAAATTAAAATAAAAGAAACGTTTAATTAACTATGCAAGGTGAGTGTTAATTAATATTTAATATTTCTTTCAAATTAATTACATTCATCTTTTTCTCTTTTTTAAAAACATTTATAAAATATAAATGAAACGCAGTAAGTTACACTACCGTCGGGAATTATCGGTACGGCTGCACGCGCTCGGCCCAAAAACATAACAATCTTTAAGGCACGATTTTTTTGTAAATACAAATGTCAGAAAATTAACAAATATACCACTCGAAAGATTATTAAATTCTACGATTAATGGTACATAACTGAAAATTTTAATAATTTATACAAAGATTGCAGCAATTGACAAATTTGACAAAACAATTTAAAAAATAAAATTTTTTTGGAAATTTTTTCAACCCCTGCACATTTTTCAAAAATTGCAGAAAAAATTTGAAACTTGTATAGGTGTGATCATTCAAGTCCCATCTTTAATTTAAGACCAAAAGAATTCAAAAATCTTAATCGGTTAGCGAGATATCATTATAAATGGACGAGCATTTTCAGCCAAAAACCGTTCAAAATCGACTAATTCAATGCATTTGTCAAAAAACATGCTCGGACGTTTATAATGATATCTTACGAACCGAATAAGATTTTTAAACTCTTTTGGTCTTAAATTAAAGATGAAATTTAAATGATCACACTTATATAAGTTTCAAATTTTTTCTACAATTTTTAAAAAATGTGCAGGGGTTGAAAAAATTTCCAAAAAAATTTTATTTTCTAAATTGTTTTGTCAAATTTGTCGATTGCTGCAATCTTTGTATAAACTATTAAAATTTTCAGTTATGTACCATTAATCGTAGAATTTAATAATCTTTTGAATGGTATATTTGTTAATTTTCTGACATTTGTATTTACAAAAAAATCGTGATTTAAAGATTGGTATGCTTTTGGGCCGTGCGTGTGCAGCCGTACCGATAATTCCCGACGGTAGTGTACATATATATATATATATATGTTTATTTTAGTTAATTTTGTATTGATTTCGAATAGTTATAAAGTGAAGTGTTCAACTAATTATTCCTAAATAATAAAATAAAGATAAATATTAAAAACATTGAAGATTAAATAAAAATATAATAAAACATTAAATTTATTTGCATAATATAAATAAAATGCTAAAATATTGAAAAATATTTGAGTAAAAATTATTATTCACTTTATATATAAGTTTTTGTTTAGCGGTATTGTATATTGGCGTTGTTTTGCTCACATCCGCAAGCGAGCGAATAGCGTAGTGGTTAGCGTATTAGACTTCGGTGTGTAGATTAGAATAGGCTTGGGCTTCGTATCCCACTGCGAGCGTTTAGAATTTTAATGTGTAAAAAAAATGTTAAATGTATAAAAAATGCTTCAAATGATCTATAAATAAATGTTAATTAACATGCACCATGTATAGTTAATTAAATATTTTTTTAATTTTATTTTTCAATAGAGAATATAATTTGGCCCGCGTCGCTTGCTAGGCGGACGAATGCCAGTAGAACGCCAGTAGAAAGTCATGTTTCGGAACAAAATTTGGCCCGTCCTGGTTGCCAGACGGACGAATGCCGGTACAACGCCGGTTGTTCGGCGGCATCAAATCTGTACCGAGCCAGGCGCGCAGCCACTACAACACATTGTCAGGTTCCAGTACAATGTCTGCACCGCTCCGGTCGTCAGGCGGACCCATGCCAGTACAGTCTCACCGACGTCTGTACAAGCGCGGTACCCTGCCAGTGAGAAATTTCCGCCTGCTCTCTAAATTTGAATCAGCGAAAAGTCGCTGATTCACCAGCCCAGAGTATGCAGCTGATGAAATAGCGTATATACACTGATGAAACAGCGTATATGCACTGATTTTCCAGCGTATATACGCTGTTTCATCAGCTGCATACTCTGGGCTGGTGAATCAGCGACTTTTCGCTGATTCAAATTTAGAGAGTGGGGTGTTAGAAAATTAGTATATTGTGCACCGAGTACGGAAAGGAGCCGTTTTCCGACTAGTTTGTCGGAAATGCTTCTTTCCGCATGAGGTGTACACAGTAGTGCTTTGTGTAACACCTGTTTACTAAAAACGTCATTTTTATACTGATCAAAAAAATAAAAAACTTTTTAGTTATTGACAAAAATTTATCTACTTTCAATTTGAGCTATTATAAAATATTTTTTGATCGAAATGGAGAGAAGGGTTGAATTTTTAAAATCCAAGTTTAGAACTAAGAAGTTGAAACCAATGAAATGCAAGAACCCACACTTTGCGAGATTGAAATAACATTATTTCAATCTTTTTGGTGTAAAGTTGGAATCAGATTTTTAACAGTGTGGTTGAATTAATTCATAAAAAATTGAATTTCTTGAGAATGATTGTTTTGTATTAAAATGTTTTGTATTAAATTAACAATAACATATTGTTTATAAAAGCAATTTAGTATAAAGTCATTACATTATGTGCGTAGAGAGTACCTATAGAAATAAATAATATATGATTATTAATAGCTAAATATGCTATAAAAACGAAAAATACTGCAAAATAAATGGAGAAACGCATATGTTCCACTGCCCCTCAAAAAGTTAAAAAATGTACAGACAATCTTCCTAGTTTTTGGTAAGGCCCTTGTTAGAACCCAATCTAAAAAAAGGCAAAGTGTATCAATTTTTGTAACAAAAAATATTTTTCAATTTTGTGAAATTTTTTAATGTAAACAGAAGGAAATTTATTATACCCTATAGAATGTGACACTCGGAAATTTTACAGGGATTTATAGCATTATATCAATGGCCTCATCCTGAACAATTGCTATGCAAATCAAGAACAGGTAGAAATGCAATCGATGGTCTGTACAACGATTATCCTTCACAAGAACCGCTTCAACTGCTTGTGCGGTTGTACATTATAAAAGGTATATAGTTACCCAATGGGAAATAGCCATTAGTCTACCATTGGTGCATTAATGGCCCAATATTGGGAGCCATTGGTTTTCTCTAGGTTTATTATTGGCTCCCAATAGTGGACTACTAATGGTAAAATCGTGGGATGTCCACGCCGATGCCAATAATTGGCAACCATTATTGGCACATTATTGGCTGCCATTAAAAAACCAATAATAAAAAATAAAAATTTTTTATTAAATTTTATTAAATAATAAATTTATTTATTTAATAATTATTTTATTTATTATTATTATTATTATTATTATTATTATTTATTATTATTAAAAATATTAATTTTTTTAATTAATTATTTTATAGAAATGGTTATTATTTTCTATCACATCGAAATGTGAATAACCCTTTCGTTCAGAGTCTAAAAATTATTTACCTCACATCCATTAGTGCAAAAATAGGAGAGGACGGGCAGAATAAAATTCTACAAATATTCGTGAGAATGCTGACTCCTTATATACTTTACAAGTTTCATGTTAGTTGCGAGAGAGTTTGAAACAACACCTTCTACGGAGCGTTGAGCGAACTACATACTTACCGACCGACGCTGCAGAAATTATCATGTAGTAAGTATGTAGTTCGCTCAAAACCCCATAGGAGGTGTTGCTTAAAACTCTCTCGGAACTAACATGAAACTTGAAAAGTATATAAGGAGGCAGCATTCTCACGAATATTTGTAGAATTTTATTCTGCCCGTCCTCTCCTATTTTTGCACTTATGGATGTGAGGTAAATAATTTTTAGACTCTAAACGAAAGGGTTATTCACATTTCGATGTGATAGAAAATAATAACCATTTCTATAAAATAATTAATTAAAAAAATTAATATTTTTAATAATAATAAATAATAATAATAATAAATAAAATAATTATTAAATAAATAAATTTATTATTTAATAAAATTTAATAAAAAAATTTTTTTTATTATTGGTTTTTTAATGGCAGCCAATAATGTGCCAATAATGGTTTACCAATTATTGGCATCGGCGTGGACATCCCACGATTTTACCATTAGTGGTCCATTATTGGGTGCCAATAATGGGACAATAATGGAATAGTGGCTCCCATTATTGGGACATTAATGCACCAATGGTTTTTTTCCCATTGGGTAGTTTTAAATGCAAATTTCGACAGTAAATCCTGGGCTTAAAAAGTGCTTCGTACCTTAAGTTGTATTAACATCTCGCTACGGAAAAAAAGAGAACCTATTTTTTTTACGATTTAATGCCAAATTTAAAAAAGGTAAAATTATATACATACTCATCACATAATTTTAAGTCACCTACTTTTCAGTTAAAAATTATTATTTATATATTCGAAAATTTTGTTTCCAATTTTCGATTAGGAATAATTTCAAATTGTATAGGAATTGTAAAAAAAATGAAATTTGTAATTATTTTATAAGAAATTTTAAACATTGTTTTCATTTTTAACCATTAAGAAATTAAATTAACAGAAAGTGATACTACTATAATTATAAAACTCGAGAATATGAATAACAATATTATGAATTTTAAATTATTTCATTGGAATAGAATCAGAAAATATTGAATTTTCCAAAGAGCAGATGTCTTCTAGACTTTGCATTACAAAAATAAGGGTTCGGCATCGTTTTTCTAAAATGGTATCGTTTCTTTGGGGAAAATGTCTTTTTCTTTTTCATTTCTTTTTTGCCAGAAATACGATGCCATAATCCCTGCAAACGAATTCTCTCAATTTCATCTTACGAGGAACAAACTTTAACATTCTAAAACTTTTTCCCTAATAAAATCTCCTCTTCAGTTTCAATTCACCTTTTGCATCTTTATTCACTTGATACTCTACTTTCACCTCTCGTTTCGTACAAAATTCTCTATTTCAAATCTTAACTGACTCTTGATAAACATTTAATCCACTTTCATTAAAAAAAGACAAAAGTAAAAAAGAAGGAAAGTTGAAAGAAACTTGAAAATCTTAAGACGAGCGTCTTTTAATGAAAATTTCTCTCTCAATATACAAAATTCGAAATTTAATTTCCTAAAGGGTTGAAAACTAATTACAGAAATTATTCAATTTAAAACATTCTAATTAAAGCTCTAGATTTAATTAAAAAAATGTTTGCAAAAACAATTAAACAGTTTCCAATTTTTTTTCTTGAAGAAATAATAAAATTTTATAAACTGAAATTAATATTAAAATTGAATAATATTGTTTCTAAACACTAAAATTGATTTCTATCTGTTCATAGGAATTAATTTACATCCTAATGATCCGCTCAGTGGAAAATCTGATCCCTATCTACGGATTAAATTGGGAAAAAATTCAATTAACGATCGAAAAAACTATATTTCTAACAATTTGAATCCAACATTTGGCAAGTGAGTAATATTAATAGAATTTTCAAAAAATATTTCACAATATTTCCTAAAAATTTCAAAAAATTACAATGAAGAAAAAATATTTGATTCAAATAAACTGGATTAGTTAAATTACACTGCGGGTTCCAAAAAATGTTGATATATTGTTTACTTAAAAATTGTTGTGTTTATTGAAACTTTAGATGTCATGGAATGGAATCTGTAAAAGGGCTCTAATAAAAGCTTAAATTTTCAACTTTAAGGCCTAGAATTAAAGAATGATTTATAATCACAGGTAACCTAATATAAGATATCGCTACCTTAAATAGTTAAAACAGTTAGGATAGGGATATCATATCACTGTAAAAATAGATGTCTTTTTTGATATCTTAAAATAAGATGTAAGATGGAAAAATGGCATCTTATATCTTAAAATAAGATGTTTTATAAAGTATCTTAAATTAAGATGTTTCTCGTGCAATAAGATGTTACCTCAAAACTTTTTTCCCAAAAAATGTGCTCAAAATGTGTACGAAGATGCTTTTAACATCTTTAATTAAGATATTTCAAATAACTAAATAGTGTCCACCAAAACATCTTAAATTAAGATACTTCTTTTTGCAGTGTAGTAAAAATCGATTTCCATAATTGGATTTGCTAGGAATTTATTATTTGTGGGTTTCTGAAGTTGCTAATGACAAATAAAAAGTTAGATTTAAAAATTTCAGAGTAGGGGATTTAAAATTTTCAAAATCAGTAATTTAAGCTTTTATTTAGGCCTTTTTAAAGATTTGTATCATGTTGCGTTTTTATCCCGTGTAGAAATTTAGCCCTTGCTCTAATTTGGGCCAGATCAGGCGTCCCCATTAGGGCATGAAACACCTTGCCAGATGTGAACCTGGTTAGAAAATCCACATTTTCTCGTCGCTCTGATCTGACCCAGAATGAGAGAAGCGTTTTATTCCCTACTATGGCCAAAGTATGTCAATTTCTACACGGGATTTTATTGTGTTTCAAAAAGTGCTACAAATGCAATTTTTGGATACTTTAATCTTGTTTTCTATGAGGCTGACACAATAATTATTAAGTAAATACAACATCAACATTTTTTTGCAACCCAGTGTTATAGAAACATTTATACATGAAAAATTTTTTTTTCATTTAAATCATTGAAATAGTATTTGTTTTAATTAAAGAAATATTTAATAATATAATTAAAATTAAAATTAGTTATGTATTCGAAATTCCTGATTTTTCTCTAATTTTCATGACCTTTCCTAAGTTTTGGCCTTTTAGGTTTATTACTTTTAAAGTTTCTTACACAATTTATTACCTTTCTTGACTAACAAATTTTATTTAAAATCTTTCTTTTTATATTACAAATTTTATACTGCTTTAAATTTTCTTCAATTCACAATTCAGGAGAAAAATAAAAGAATCTAATAGAATAAAAAAATTGATTTTATTACTAAATTGTTTTTATAGGTATACTATTGAAATAAATCACCTCGAGTCAACATAAATAAAATGATTTATTTACGTTTCAATAGCACAGCTGTCCTCTTCAAAAACTACATATAAATTATTATACATAAATACATTTTTTAACAATTGCTAAAAATATTTTTTTAATAAATTTTTACACTGCAAAAACTGGTATATCACTCGTGTCTTAAAATGAGTTGCTTTAAGTGTTTAAACCATTGAGATACAAAATCTGTTTTATATTGAGACATTTAATTTCATCTCGTGTCTCATTTTAAGACATTAAAGGTAACTCAATGCGTATAAGACACGTAAAACGACTTCTTAGTGTGAGACGGATACTCGAAACACATTTCGTGTCTCAAAATGCATTGCTAAATGTGTAAGACACTTTGAAACGTCTTAAAATGAGACACATATCTGTTTCAAATATGTGGACTAAGACATCTTATGTGTTTCAAATATGGGACAAAACGTCTCAAAATGAGACACTTGTTTTTGCAGTGTAGGGACGTTGATAACTAATCTGATGTCAGTTTTCAAAAATTCAAGATGGCGGATCCTTGAATATTTATAATTAGGAAGTAGTTAATCGTGAATTTAATTCAATTTTTAATTATAATATTTTTTACCTGCTCTAGTAGTGATCATATTATGTCGTATACCCAGGAGTAACAAGTTTCCAGCAAATCGAGCTGTTTTAATTTTTTTGTCTGTCATTTTGTGTTTACCTTAGCTGATCTTAATTCATTAAAATTATTAATTCTAAGTAAATATTTACTTGATAATAATAATAATAATAATAATAATAATAATAATAATAAATTATTCACTTTTTAATGTACAGTACCAAAAAGTAAGCGAGTGGAAAAAATAAACTTCAGCTTAAAAAATATTTCCAAATAGGATATATATCTTATTTGTTGAGCAGATAAAATATAAATGAAGCATCAAAAAATGCTTTTAATAATGCAGAAATCTGATTGTATAGAATACAATCTGTATCGATCAAATCACATCAGCTGCATTAGTGACATGGCAGTAAACGGTGCAGTAAACTAATTAAAATTGGGATCGTTACTGAAGTGCACCAACTAGACGCGTTTAATTAAGTTTCATTTATAGATAGACCACAATAAAGTTGAACAACAGTAAACGTTGATTGTAAGCGATTGTTACTATATTTACCATTTCATATTACCAAATCATTGATTAAAAAATGAACTAATATACGAAATTTTTAATACATACATTTCCTAAACCATTTCAAGTTTTATCATTTATTTTTAAGTGTTCTCTTTATTATTAAACGACACCACTTTACCAGTTTTAAAGTTCCATATTCATTTTATGCAGGTAGATTTTATATTTAAGAAACAATTTTTGCTTCTTTATTAAACAATTTTAATTTTATATTAAATTTTTTATGAGGGTATTTTTTTTTCTTTCTTTATTATAGTACTTAATGTTTAAAAAAAGATATTTTTTCTCATTTCACATAATATTAATTTAGCATAGTTATAGTTTTTATAATCAATATATTCTTGTTTCAATCAGCATTTATTTTAATATTTAACTACATAACAATTTTTATGTGGTAATGAAATTAATTTTCCTTTTTTCATTAACGTCAACTTTATTCTTACGACTCATTTCTTAATGAATGAAAGAACATTTTTTTCTAAATTATAAATTATTTTTAAAACAAACTTACAATCGCTTACAAATTATTTATATAATAAAAATTCGATAGTTGAGGTCTTTGAACCTTCATTAACAAGACATAAAATTCGTAAGAATTTTTACTAATCGAAAAAGCTAATTGAGAAAACCCCCGAGTAATAAGTTTTAAGCGAATCTAATCAAAATTAAAAAATTTTACCCCCATATCGGTTCCGAAATTTTGAATTTTTTAAAAGCGACTTAAGATTCGTAATCAGCGACCCTAAAAACCCCCGAGTAATAAATTTTAAGCGAATCCAATCAAATTTTTAAAAAAATTTCCGCCATATTGTATCTGCCATTTTGAATTTTTAAAAAGTCACTTCAGATTCGTAATCAGCGACCCCAGAAACCCCCGAGTTACAAGTTTTAAACGAATCTGATCAAATTTAAAATTTAGTCTGCCATATTGGATCCGCCATTTTGAATTTCTAAAAAATGACTTCAGATTCGTAATCAGCGACCCCAAAAACCCCCGAGTAACAAGTTTTGAGCAAATCTAGTCAAATTTGAAAATTCTGAAACAGTTTATTTATTTTTTTTGTTAGCATTTACGCATTTATTTATTTATAGTGCTATATTATCTAATAATAATTTTTAATTTAAAAAAGCCATACGGCAAAAGTAACTATCTACATTTTCCAAGCTGTAATTTTTTAAAAAGAATGGTTTTTTATTTTTAAACCCTTTCTGGGCAGAGGGGGGGGGGTCCGTTTTACAGAGAATGCCCCATAAATAATTATTGTTAAAATTGTGCAAATTACCTTTACTTTAATTAAATTTAAATGATTAAAATCAATTTCTTTTACTTGTTCACATTTGAAAAATTATTAAATTCGAATTCTTTAAATTAATGCTAATATTGAGGTTATACATTTTTTTAAATAATCTTCACTCATTATTAATTTCGAAATAAATCAAAGGTGTGATTAAAATTTTTGATTTTATTATTTTTCTATGTTTACAAACTGGAAAAAAAAATTTTAAGAAGTGTTTGACGTACGAACGACAAATCACGTAAAATGACTATCATTTTGGGATAAAAGGATTTCATTTAAAAATCAAATGAAATCAGTTACTATTCAAACGTTTTTTTTCAATAAACTTCATACGTTTCAATATTTAAAAGATTCCTTTTACAATAAAACTATTTCTGCTAAAGATTAAAGAACATGATTCAAAAGGAAATTAGTTTTATGTTTAATAGATCATTTCTGTGAGTGAGTAATAATTAAATGATAGTTCTGCAAGAATTAAATTATTTAAAATAAATTTAGTTTTATATCTTATAAAGTTTATTTATTAATAGAAACAGAAAACCAAGGTACACCAAGATACACCCTGATATCTAGGTGATATTATCTAGCTTGGTGTTAATCTAGAGCTATGATTATTATAGTAGGTAAGCTTGTCGCAAGCTTCCCTGCTATCTGGGAATAATAATTATAATTAAATAATGAATTATTGGCAAATAATAATAATTTTAATAATAATAAATTATAACAACTTATTATTTATTATTAATTATAAGAATAATAATAAAAATAAAATCTAACAAGGAATAAATTTATGTTCCCGTGTCTCACATACCTAAATAAACAATTTCGAATGAATAAGAAAATAATTTTTAAAAAGAGGACATCCTGTTTCCTAAAAAAATTAGTTTTCTATGCAAAAAGGATAAAAATGAAAATTTAAGAGCTCTCATTCTGCGGCCGAGAGAAAAGTCAATAGATATGAGCTTTATTGACCGGGCCAATATAGTTCCGTGTATTTTACGAGATGAGTGCAAACTAAAAATCAGTCTCTCTCTCTCTCTCTCTCGATATGAACGAGAATTTTTGAATGCATTAAGCTTATAGAAAAAATGGGCTGACACATAGACACAGATAGACATACACAAATATAAAATAAAATGCAATTCGTGTATTTGGTCGACAGATTTTTTGAAATGGAGGCAACGTTTCCAAAGGATTACCTTTTGACAATACAGGTTTGGGACTATGATGCAACGACGCCAGATGATTTGATTGGAGAAACAAAAGTTGACATCGAGAATCGATTTTATAGCCGACATCGAGCGCATTGCGGAATCGCGAGGACATATAATACAACTGGATACAATGCATGGCGAGATAGGGAAAAACCAACTCAGATATTGAACTTTTTATGCCAAAGGAACAATCTTCCTTTGCCCGACTATCAGGATGATTGTGTCAAGATTGGAAAACGAAAATTTTCTTTTACTGCAATTGTCACTAACGAGGACGGTGAGAATTCACAAATTTTTAATTTATTGTTTTTTATTATAAAACAATTTTAATATAATTTATAGTCTAATAATTATATTACATTTTGTGATAGAATTGTTTCTTTGTTAAGTAACAAAAAAACTTTTCTTGCTATTATAAAAAAATTTCTCTACTCATTTAAAATTTATTTAAATAAACAATAATTTTAGTAAAAAATATATTTTACTACCTTAGCTTCCCTTCTATTAACATTATGATTAACAATATTTTTATGGTTGTTTCTACTACACCTTTTCTTTCCGTGTAGAAAAATTCATTCTGACTAATAATTACTTTACTACTAATAAAATTTCAACTGTCTGATTTAAACATACTTTCACTACTGATTTATATTTCAAGCAATAAACACACTTTGTCTGACTAGAAACTGACTTTTACTACTCTCTAAATCTGAATTAGTGGAGATTTTACCTTCTCAATTAGTATAATATTTCACTAATAAATTAGTAGAATTATCAACTTTTACTCATGAATTAATAGAATATATGCCTATAACTTATTCAAATTAGTAAGAATTTTCACTTTTTTTAGGGTTCCTTACCCAGTAGGAATCCTATTAACCCCATCACAATCAAGTTAAAAATCACTTGAGGGCCTAAAACGGTCCGAAAAAAAGTGTTCAAAAAATTATAATTTCATCATATTTATAAGGTTTTTGGGATTGCTAAATTCGAATTTGAGGTCAGTTTTTCAAAATTAAAAATGCCGGATCTAATATGGCGGATAATTTTAAAATTGATGCGTTTCAACGAAAATTCATTTCTCGGGAGATTTCGGGGTCGCTGATTACGAATATGATGTCAGATTTTCAAAAATCAAAATGGCGGACCCAATATGGCGACCAAATTTTTTAAAAGTTGACGGAATTGTCTAAAAATATTTACTCCAGAGTTTTTAAAGTTATAAGATTCGAATTAAATGTGAAATTGTATAAAATTTGTCTTTTCTGTTTTTTCAATTACTAAACCGTACGCTACACTTCTGATTAGTTATATATTTTACAAACCATTTTGCATTTTTGAAGTTTGACATCAGATTTTAATCAATTTTTAAAACTAGATAGTTTAAAAGCAGTCCATTAAAAAATATAAAATGGGAAAATTAACAATTTTTTGAATTTTTCGAAATCATTTTTATACTCACATCTTACAATTAGTTATAGGACAGTATTTTTGGCAAAATTATGCTAAAATTTGACTTAACCCTCCTGCGTACCTATTTTCACCCATAAAATTGTTTCCAAATGCACAAATTTTTCACACTGTTGGATTTTTTTACAATTTGGTACCTAGGGGTTTTTGGGGTCGCTGATTACGAATCTGAGGTCAGATTTAAAAAATTCAAAATGGCGGATCCAATATGGCGGATGAGTTTTTAAAAAATTCATCAAAATTTCTTGAAAATTTATAATCGGGGGTTTTTGAGGTCGCTGATTACGAATCTAAGATCAAATTAGGAAAATTCAAAATGGCGGATCCAATATGGCGGACGAATTTTTAAAAAATTGGTTGATTTTATTAAAAAAATTTAATGAAACTTGGTGTCTAGGGTTTATAGAGGTCACTAATTACGAAGCTGAGATCAGATTTTAAAAATACAGAAGATCAGAGCCAATATGGCCGCCAGTTTTAGAATTTTTTTAGATTTGTTTTAGATATATTGGTATTTTACGAGTCCTTCATAAACTACGTCTCTGTTATATGAAACAATGTGCATTTTTTAGACTTCCTAAGTTGAGTAGTACTACATAATGATGTTTTATGAATATAACAATTTAACACATATTTAAACAAATAATTATAGATATTGATTAACTCCTTGCACAAAAGACTTAGAAACATGCTTTTTCCAAATTTTAAAAGTTAACAAGATCAGTATTATTGTAAGATTCATGTTTGTTAATTGCAAAATTGGAGGTATATTATTCAGCTTAGTTAACTTCAAAATTTAAAAAAATTGCATACTTCTAGATGTTTTTTGTAATAAGTTAGTAAACAACAACATTATTTGTTTAAAAAATTAAAGAATCGTTAAATTTATGAAAAATCTTCATGTAATATTACACAGCTTAGTTAATTGCAAAATTAGAAAAAAGCTGCACGTTTCTAGAAATTTTTTGTAAAAAGTTAGTACATAACAACAATTATTTGTTAAAACAATTAAAGAATTGTTAAATTTATAAAATATTTTTATACTGCCATTTTGAGTTTTGAAAATCTGACCTCAGATTTGTAATCAGCGACCACGAAAACCTCTAGATACCAAGTTTTATTAAAATCAAACAATTTTTTTAAAATTCATCCGCCATATTGGATCCGCCATTTTTAATTTTTTAAATCTGACCTTAGATTCTTAATCAGCGACCTCAAAAACACCCGATTATAAATTTTCAAGAAATTTGGATAAATTTTTGAAAAACTCATCCGCCATATTGGATCCGCCATTTCGGATTTTTTAAATATGACCTTAGATTCGTAATCAGCGACCTCAAAAACCCCTGATTATAAATTTTCAAGAAATTTGGATAAATTTTTGAAAGACTCATCCGCCATATTGGATCCGCCATTTTGGATTTTTTAATCTGACCTTAGATTCGTAATCAGCGACCTCAAATAACCCCGATTATAAATTTTCAAGAAATTCGGACGAATTTTTGAAAAACTCATCCACCATATTGGATCCGCGATTTTGGATTTTATTAATCTGGTTTCAGATTCTTAATCAGCGACCTCAAAAAACCCCGATTATAAATTTTCAAGAAATTTGGATAAATTTTTGAAAGACTCATCCGCCATATTGGATCCGCCATTTTGGATTTTTTAAATCTGACCTTAGATTCGTAATCAGCGACCACAAAAAACCCCGATTATAAATTTTCAAGAAATTCGGATAAATTTTTGAAAATCTCATCCGCCATATTGGATCCGCCATTTTGGATTTTTTAAATCTGACCTTAGATTCGTAATCAGCGACCTCAAAAACCCCCGATTATAGATTTTCAAGAAATTCGGATGAATTTTTGAAAAACTCATCCGCCATATTGGATCCGCCATTTTAAATTTTTTTAATCTGGGTTCAGATTCTTAATCAGCAACCCCAAAAATCTTTGAGATACCAAGTTTCATTGAAATCAAACAATTTTTTAAGAGAAGTATGTATTTGCAACTTTTATTTTGTGACCTATCCTCTACTGTTTATAACAAATATTTAATACTTTGTTTATTAACAAATACTTTAATTAGAGACTTTATTATGTATGTATCATTAACTATGAACCTTGCACTGTAAGTTGCACTTTGTCTCGTGTGTTAAAGTTAATTTGTTTAAAAGTTATGAAAAAAAATATTTGGACGAGTATACTCGTCCTCGCGCATTTGGTAACAACTTAGTTTGGACGAGTATACTCGTCACGGTACGCAGGAGGGTTAATAACATGTAACAATCAATTACAGATAGTTTGAAAGCAATTCATTAAAAAATATAAAATTTGAAAAATTTCATTTTTTTAAATGTAAAATTTGAAAATTTTTGATTTTTAAATTTTCTGAAAAAATTGAATATCTCCCGTTCTAATTAAAACTTTTAAAATCTGTTCTTCGCAATAATTTAATTATTTTCATAAATAATAAAACTTTTTTAGGAATTCAATTATTTTCATAAATAAAACTCATTGCAGAGTTTAACCCTCCATCCGTCGCACCTGTTTTTGTAACGCGATCCGTCGCAGGTGAGAGAAATTCTCACCCTCATAAATTAGTCCAAACTTGTTCTAAAATGCCAAATTTTTTTTTGAATGTTCATTAGAATTTCTAAACAACCTATTGGCAGTAAAATTAACTTTTATTTTCTGTTAATTATTTAAATAAAAAAATAATGACAAATGAAATCGAGTATACGCGGTCAGTCGCATGGTGAGAAGTTCCCTCACTTCGCGTCAAAAATCCCTGACATTTGAAGCTTTCAAATTCAATAACAAAGAAATTAAAATATAAAAAAACACCAAAATTGTTTTAATGTAAAGAAGAAGAGTGCCGTAAAAGGTACTGAGAATATGAAATTATAATTTTTTTTATTTTAAAAGTTATAAATAAAAAAAGAAACTGGGTGAGGGAATTTCTCACCATGCGACGGATGGAGGGTTAAATTATTTTTAATACAATTTAAATCCAATTCATAGAAAAATGTAATTGTTCTTAAAAATTTTATGAAAAATCGTTAAATGAAATCAATGATTTAAAAATGTTTTGATAAAATTCTTTATGAGACTTCAATTTTAAGAAATTTTAATTATTCAATAAATTATTGAGTTATCTAATGAAAATTTATTTAAAAATGAATTTCAGTTACAGTTTTACATAATAATTGAATATTAAAAGCATTGTAGCATTTATTTTAAGAAATAATTAAATTTTAAAATGGTTTCAAATCAAATTCTTTAAAAATTTGTATTTTTTATTCTTATAACTAACAATTCTGTAGAATTAATTATTTTAAAAAAGTTTAAATTAAATTTTTTTTCTGAAATTATTTGACGTGTTTATTTTTTAATTCGTGTTTAATTGAAGAATTTCTGAATAATTTAAATTTCGTATAATTGATTTGTAATCAAATGTAGTTTAAAAATCTCATAGAACTTTTTTCAAAAATTATTAAAAATAATTTATTCCTGTGGGAAAATAATATTGATTAAAATTTATTTAGAAAATAAGTTATTGATGTTTTCAAATAATTTTAGAATTAAAGAAATTCGTAAATAAATGTAATAGAACATTTTTTGGAGTGTCTAATCATTTTTAAAGTGAATCAGAATATTCTTTAGGGTCAAGGAAGAAGTCAAAATTTTGTCTAGTAATTAAGTTTTTCATATTAAAAAAAAGAAAATATTTTTCAGGATTATCTAAAATGTTTATTACAAAATGCTAATTCTTTAGAAACAAAGGAAATAATGAATAATATAA